CCCCCCCCCCCTCCCCCCTCTAAAATCAATTCTCTCCTGGAGAACGACTTCGTGAGCCTCTCATGATTTCAGGATAGTTGAAACCCTCTTGAACATTTAGAAAGAGTGAATATGAAATTCTAATCACGAAAGGTGTTCCCCGAGGGGATACATACCTAGAGTTTGTTCTGTGAAGCACGTCAATTCTCTCCTGGGGAGCGTCTTCGTGAGCCTCTTATGGTTTCAGGATAGTTCAAATCCTATGATGTTCCGATTCAATGCTCACCGATGATCTGAGCCATGGGGCAAGTTTGTTTTCCTAAGAATCTTTTTGAACATTTCGAGAGCATATGTTTGAACATTTAGAGTGCATATGAACATATATTTACGAAAGGTCGCCTCCGAGGGGATAAATCACCATGTCGAACATTGCATTTTTGTTCCTGCCTCTCGCGTTCTCTTCTCTTCCCGCTGTCCTACCTTTCGTGTCTCCCTCCTCTCAAGTGGGAAAGGAGCCGGGAGACTCTGACGCATCCACAGGCTTGACGAGCAAAACCTGCAGCGGTGAGAAAGCAAGAGAAAACAGGACATCTTGCCAAGAGGAAATCTTTCAACCCCTCAACAAAATGGTGAACCAATACAAACAAAATGTCACTGCAGACAAAGAGCGAATTGGTGGCCTGGTCGGGCTCAGGCGCCCCTCGCACCGTCCGGTGCGCAGTCCCTTTGAGTGGGAGCGTCGCGTCGACCACGCCCAAGAAGCAAAGGAATGCTCCGGGCATTTCCCGGTTCTTGTGCAGGTCAGTCAGGTCCAGGTTGACCATGACAGGTCGCAGCTCGACTTTGTTGGCCAGGAGCTTGTCTTCGAGTTTCCTGCCAGGGGGAGTGCTGCCACGCACAGAGAGCCTTTGAGTGGCATTAACAACTCACCCAATGATACCAACCTCTGTTTAACTACTCGGTCCTGATGTCTTGCCTCAAACTCCCACCGCTCTCGCTTCCCACCAGGGGAGGAGGGATCAGAACCAGGACACTCCCTGAGCTCTAGCCCATGAAACAAGAGTCATTTGGTATGCGTTGACACACTCGCAACTTGCCAAGACCATCCAAGACCCGGGCTTGTTGGATTCTTCCCCAAAACCTTTTCGGTAAAGTCCCCAGCCATGTTGATCTCCGATTGAGTCAACACGCCAAGCTTGGTGCAATCAAAGAACAGGATGACGTCGACGTCACGCGGATCCACCTTCCAGCAACCGCCACGAAAACCTTAAAGGCCTTAAAGTTGCTAAGAAAACCAAAACCTTGTCAGAACCTTGGGGTCTTGGGGTCCCATGGAATCAGCCGGCCTGGTGGTCTGAAGCTGCCTGGCGGATGATTGCGTCTAGGCAAGCTTCAGGGCCATCTTTCCGGGTTGCCATTGCAATGCGAGACCGCTTTTCCATGTAAGTCTCACACAGCCTGAGGTGAGGAACTTGTTTGGCCAACGTGTCTATTATTTGTAAGGAACACTTGGCAACAACCAAATAAGAAAAAACGGACCAAAAAACAAGCGGAGTAACTCTTTTCCGATATCCAGCTGCGCCTTTTCGTGCATCACCGAGATCACATGCTTGCGGCGCTTCAGCTCCGCCTCTTTGGCATTGAGCTGGGACATCGTGAGGACATCCTGTGAAAGCTTGGCTCTGATCTCTCTGAAGCGCGCAGCATGGGCTTGTTCTTCGATGTCTGCCAGGTCCGCTGGTGTGGAAAGCTTGGCAGGACTGGCTGGCGCTTCAACAAGGTCGCACCAAATGGAAAGGTGTTGAGGCTTCCAAGTGCTCAATCTTGCCGTCACATCTGCGAAGTAGTCCCTTACTCATGGGAGGCGCAGAACAAAGGTTGAACAAACACATCCCGGGACTGTGACCCACCCCTGAGAACGCCTGAGAAACAAAAAATTCAAAAGTTTGAATGGCCAAGTCAAAGAACTTCTGGAAGAAGGCCTTTTCCATTGCTGCATCTTTCTCAGGATTCCAGCTGGTCATGGTGCGAGCCTCATCCCAAATGGCGGCGTACACGCATGCGAAGTCCGCCAAGCCTTCAAACTTCTCCGGCGACAGGCGCGCTCTTGCGCGGGCCGATGGACGCAAGCACCGAGTAGCGTCGCCAAAGGTTTTGACCACCAACTGGAAATGCAGCGTTTGCGAGCGCTCCGTCACAGTGAGGCACCGGCGCAACTCGGCAGGGCACTGTCCTGATTTCGGGCATGCCCCGACCAGCCATCGAAGACTTTTAAACTGGTCGGTGTTAAAAGCTGATTGCTGCCACTTGTGTCGGTCGAGATGGTTGCGAATAACCGCTCGGGATTCCTGGGATGCCAAAAGGTCCAGACAATAGCCATGCGACGACAACCCGGACAAGCATTCAGAAACAAATTTAAAACATTTTTTCATGTCATTTTGAGGTGCTTCACAGGTCCCACTCACCAGGTTGAAGATCGCTTTGTATCGGTCGTCCTCAATTCTATGTTTTGCACCCAACCCCGGGGTGGCGTTGAACTCAGCGACAACCTCAGACAGACGCTGGTCCGTAGTCCAGTCCAGCAAGTGGCGTTCCTCCTCAGCCCGAACTTCCATGACACGGGCAAACCTCAAAGACAGCTGCAAGCTGTTCGGAGCTTGCCGCTCCGAGCCGCGAAATGATAGCTGGATGTTGCGGAAGGATCTGAGGGCCTCGTCCATGTTGAACGTAAACTTAGATCGGCCCGGCCGGGTGAAGGATTGAAAAGTTCAGTCCCATCCCTCACCATTCAAAACAACTGCTACATTGTCCCTCAACTTGTGGAAAGAAGTTTTTGAAGTTTACTCCCAGGCGCGTGGACCGGCACTGTCCAGCACTTGTCCAAAACAGGGAACAAGGGTCTCAACTTCTCAATTGCAGCTGGATCTGTGAGGTCCAACTCGCTTGCAGCAATCAAAATGACCAACACCGCAGAGGCCCTTGTCCAGCCCTTGACCAAATCCACGCTGTGAGGCCCGCATTCCCACGAATCTGCAGGGCTGAAGTGTCTGGTTACGAGGCTTTTTGAACATTTTTCCATGAACAACTATAGAGTTGGCTAAAATGGGAATGGATTGGTGTTCATAAAGCTGCACCTATTGAACAAGCCATAGTCCCGTCCAGTTGCTCACGAGCAAGGTCCACCCCTCCCAGGAGCATGCTTTCAAAGGTCGTGAGCCAGTCCTCGCAAACAGGAAGCCCATCTGCTGGAGCCTCAAACCTGAACAACAGCGGTGGGGGGTTTTCCGTCCTACACTTTCTATGTTCGCAAGCTGGCCACTATAAATATACAAAAATATAAAATATGCATATACTTCCGATATCCCAGTGCCTACAGTTGGAAACTATAATCGAAAATGTTGGCGCGCAGAACAGACAAAGGCACTTGAGGCAGGTGATGGGAACCTTTATGGTCTCCCCTTGCATGCTGGGATCCATAGCCTCAGCAATGGAAGCAATATGAAGGAAGTCTTTCATCCCTTCACTTAAAAGTAGGCCAGGCCGAAAAATACCCTGACTACTAGACATGGTTTTTTGTTAGAAGATGTTTGAAGTGTAGCTGAGAAACAATGCCGCTCTTCTTGAAGAGATATGGCATCTTGCGAACAGTGTGTGCGTATTCATGGTACCAGTTTTCCAGCTGCTGACAATGCAGCAAGTTGGACTCATGGTTCGTGCTTTCAAACAGCTCGCACACTAGAGATGCTGGGTGTTGGCCTGACAGGTTTTCATCCTCGGACCTGAAGGTAGCACAGTAGTCCAAGAGCTCCTGCGTGGTTCAAGAAACACGTTCTATAAGATGGGGAAAGAGGCCACAATCTATTGGTTAAATCTGTCCCACTAGACGATTTGTTTGCATTTTGTTGAAACATACCATTAGTATTAGGCTCCTTCACTGTGTCAAGATCCCCAGCAGGCATCTTACTGAGCTGCTTCTCGTATACAATGCAAGCCCTCTTCGGCGCAGGTTCTCCCGCATCCTTGCCATCCTTGATGGCCAAGAAGAGCTTGGCACGTTCCTCGGCCTTTGTTTTAAAAGGCAGAGACATGGCACCTATCGTTGGGCCAGCTGTCAAAATCCTTCGGGATCACCGCAACCTTCACCAAGTGCATCGACTTTGTTTTCAACTTCCGAAGTTAAGATCAATGCACTGACCCAGAACCAGTGCATCGACTCCTTTTTGAAAAAAAGCGAGGTTCAATTTCTTTTTTTTTTCACCCAAGAGATTTCAATCCACGCTTTTTTTACATAAAGGATCAATGCACGCGCCCACAACGAGTCCATTGATCTATAGGATGACTTTTGGGAGAGGAGTCAATGCACTCACTCAATTTCAATCTCCAAAGTCAATGCACTCGTTGAGAACCAGTGCATCGACTTTGTGTGTCCGATCACCCCCGGTGCATCGACTTCCCTCGTCCGACCGCCCCCGGTGCATCGACTTCCCACGTCCGACCGCCCCCGGTGCATCGATTTTTCACGTCCGACCACGCCGGGCGCATCGATCTTTCAGGTCCGACCATCCCCCTTCTTGCGATTTGACCTTGTGGGTAATCAACAGTTTGTGTGTGGGATTTGTCTGCCAGCCCTAGGTTTGCCAGAGGGGTCTGCCTGAAAAAGGCCATACGCCAAGCAACCAGGGGTTCCTCAACCAGGAGAATTCCAAAAGGCTTTGCCCCAACCAATGCCCGAAACCTTGCCCATGTGTTGTGTCAAGAAAGATTTCGGGCATTGCTTGCCGCAAATCCTTTTTGGATGTCAAAACTGGCGCTTGGGGACTTGTGTCCAATTTTCGTCTCAAGCTGGCGTCATAGCCGGCGGTCGCCTCCGAAAACTGCGCGAAGGGGCACAGTTGGTGCAAGTGCGTTGAGCACTGCTTGGTGAAGAATGTACCTAGGGGCTCCCACGCCAACTGGCTCGCAGCCCTGGCTATGAAACGGCAGTGGCTCCAATTCAGCATTTTGCCAAAATGCATTATTTGCTAAAGCGTGCAAGTAGTCTGTAGCTCGCTGATAGCGGTGGCCATAGTAGAACTGAACATCTTCTGCCAGTTTCTTGAGAAGCCCAGCTGCTTGAATGGAATGGTTGTTGGGCCAGCTGAGATCAAACCAACATTGCTTTTTGACACCCGGTAGTAAGTGACTGGTTTTCCACAATAAGATCCAAAAGACAGGTTAGTAGAAAGGTTGGAGCCGTTTTCTGAATTTCAACAAGGGGCTTCTCATCAGGAACCAAAGTAAGCCTATGGGCCCGATTTGTTGTGAGCACCAACATAGGAGGTTGAGACAACCCTTCATCCGATATGTGCTTCTTGATGAACGAGATGACGTCATGTGGGGATTGTGCACCTCGATAGCTTCCTTCATTGATCTGCTCCGCAATGGCTTCGGGGACATCTGCAAGGCTTGAGAGTTGGTGACCCCAGGGACCGGGAAGGAAACACCAGGGTGCTAAAGGCATTGAACACTGTGTTCAAAGGGCCTGGCCTCTTCTTTGCATACACATGAAAAGGTGGTTTCCAGTGTCGTCCTTCAACAAGCCACCTTCCAACCGGACACCAGTCTTTGGCATTTGGGTCCTCCAAGCCCGCGTTGCGTCCAGCTTCTGGACTGATACCCGGGTGCTACCTCCAATCCATTCCTTGATGGTCGGCTTTTCCAACTCGGATCGCACTGCATTGATGCAGTCGTCAGGATCTAAGATCCCTGATTCGTTTGCCACCCGACGAGATATGATTCCCCACAGCTGGTCTTAGCTGCATCAGGGTGGCAGAACTCATTCAAACAAAACAAAGAACAACAAAAAATATACTCAACCAACCATGAGAGGGACCTATTCTGCAGTGGGAATGGCTCTTCCTCAAGTGGCAAAGGCAGGAAGCCCGAAAGCGATGCGTCCCCACCAGCAAATGTAAGTATGATAACACCTGCTGGTTCTTGCACTCCCTCACCGTGTTGTCCACCTTGGTGTGGGTTGATGGTTCTTCTTTACAAAAACGGTATTCACTAAACACCGAAGAACACAAAAGGGTATCAGCCAAGGAACGTTGAGTATCACTGTGGTGGGAACTTGGCGGTTCTGAAGTTTGCAAAGTGATATCACCTGGACCAGTGATTGATATTGCATAAACAACACGGGTGTTCAGTGTATAGTTCTGCCCGCCCCTATTGAAAGAACATCCAAGTAGTAACAATTTGTTGATCATGGCAGGTGGCATCTTCAATTGTTCGGGATACCATCTCTAGTATGGCGCTGCTGTCATGTCTCCCCAATTCATCAATGAAGTAGACATTGAGCACCCATCCATAAGCCCAGACTCCGTGACATTTCATCCGAGGTCTTTGATGCTTTGCCCTTGGGAAGTCTTGAGGAGGCCAGAGACTTGGAGAACCGAGCTTTGGAAGGGGGTAGATGAAACAAAACAAAAGGCTTTACCCAGGTATAGGGGCAATCCAGAGTTGGCCCGGAGTTCTGGATGGCGGGGGAGGCGGAACTTGCTTTGGTCAAGGCCATCTGTGCGAAGCAAGAGCACGCCGCTATTTGGGTCGGCAGCTTCCTGCTGCAATGTCCATATGACAGTTCTATCACAATATTGGGAGTGTAAATGGGATCTGTACCCTTGCAGCGATCCTAACTTCTGTTCAAACGTCAGGCCCCGGTCGGACAGCTGCTGCTTGTAGGAAAAGCAAACTTCACATGTGGTGAACTGACTCTGCTGTCTAAAGCCAAGGATGTCTTGCCAGCGTTCCTTGTATACATGGTTGAAGGTGCCATACCTGAGACTCAAAACATTTCACCAATTCTTTCACCTACAAACGACAGAAGGGTAGATGGGGTTGACCGCAGTTCTTTACACTGAACCGTTTTCACCCACAAAGGACCTGAACCCATGGCGGGGGTGAGAGTAAAGGCATTTGACAGCATTTACCGAAAAGGTATTTAAAAGTGAAACAGCCCAGGGGCGAAACGCTATTAGCTCCCACCATAGCTTGTGTTGCTTTGTAGTGCTCATGCAAATCCATCACAGTGCCAGGGGCTAGGTACTTGCGGACAATCACTTGGTTCGGAAGGAAAGGGCTTTTAGCTGCTTGTTTTGAGAGCCATTCCCGAAGCCCATCCACATTCTCCAAATCAGATACCACCTCTTCCCCACTAGACCCTTCTGAATCCAAGTCCTTCTTCTTGGGCAGTTTGGCTGCTCTTCCTCTCCGAATTAACCTGTCTTATTCGGCCGATGCAGACATAACAAAAACGCGGTGAGTCAAGAACCTAAGCAGGTATTACCAGCTTCAACACAAGTATGTTTAGTGGAAGAAGATTGGACACACAGGCCTGTCAGGCAAGGTCTCAGCTACAGAGTCGTACAAGATCCTCAGGAAACCATCCACACTAAAGGTCCCTGCTTTGCTGGTGTACCCACCACGCTTCCCGTATCTCAGATCTGGCGTTGTCGCGACTGCCTTGCGAAGACGGGAATGTCCGATCCCAAGGATGGATGCCAAGCACTTTGCACCCACAGTCTTGTCCAGGAATTTGAACTGCTTGAACCCTTTCTCTTCGGACCCCACTGCAATCTGTACCTTGATTCATGTTTGGAATGGTTGGAAGACCGGAATAGGTTATTTTGGAAGCAATCCGTTTGCTTTGTGTCAAATAACTTGCACTGAGTATCCACAGAGTCTTGATCTTGCTTTGCCATGTCCCAAACGAATTGAGAAACCCTGAGAGCTCCTTTGAAGAGGCAAACTGCTTTGAAGCAAGTCTTCTGAGCACCTCAGGCGCGGCGGAGATTTAGGAGAAGGATTGGAACATATTGGAACGCAGATGAAAGTGGGAAAGCCTGCCCATGGAACCATAACTTTGCTAGACACAAACAAGGAACAGTGACAAGATGCCAACGCCACCAACCCTTCTATTCTTGCAGGGTCCTTTCCGTTCTTGCTGTAAGCGCCAGCCGATTGTTGACGGCTGTAACTCGCAGCTGCAGCTCGTACACTGTTGTCATAGGTCCGTTTTGGTTTGGTGTCTGGCTCGTCTAAGTTCCTATTCCAGAAGGTGCCCTTCTTGAAGTCCATCAAAGAATGCCATCCCAGAGAGAAAACTGTTTTTGAGGTACCCTTGTAGTTTTCCCCGTTCAGATCTTCACCACTACTTGACTCTGACACAGGCCCAGGCTGCTTGCTCATCGCCTTCATCTTGGAAGAGGCTGGGAGTGGCCTTTGGTCTGCTCTTGGGCCTTTCATCTTGAAAAGCATGATCCGATTCGTCTGGTTCATCTTGAAAAACGGAACCACTAGGCGGCTTTCTCTTCTGTGTCTGGCTGGGTCTCGAAGCAAGAACGTGTGATGGAGGGTCTGCTTCAGAAGGTTCTGCCCCCAAACGCAGCTGTAGGAGTAGAAGACGCTTTCTTTTTTGAAGCATGGCGTGCGCTCCAATA